TTAGAGTTGAACCCTTTCTGTCTCTCTGGGAAGATGTTCTGCTCCTGAATCAGCTGGGTGGGTCTTGCCTCTAGCTTCTTTGCAGGGAATTCTGCTGAAGGATTCCCTGCTGGGCCTGCAGCCTGGGTCGAATCCTGTGGGTTTTTTTAAGGAACTAATTTTCGAGAATCAAGTCATTTAGCAAGAATACACTTTGATTACTTTTGCTTTTGGTTTCCTTTTTAAATTACTGGTATGTGTTGTGTAAGCTTCTTATTAGTAAAACATTACTTTAAGTCAGATGGTGATTTTATAGTGCTTAGCAAATGCTTTACTTCACAGCCTATTAATACTGTTCAAATAGTGTGTATCTCTCTGGTGTAACCTCATGTGTGTTCCTGACATCCCCTGGGGAGTGGCATAGTCCTGGCTCTGCTGGCCCCTGCCCTGCCCTGCCCTGCCCCAAGGAAGGTGGGCAACCAGACAGTGTTAGAGGGAGAGAGAGGTAAGATCGATAGCAGAGATTCAGTGGTTTATTAATTATGTTGGGTGAGATGTTTGGATATTATTTTTTAAAAAATGTCATGCCCTACAAGTATGGATTTAAAATAGATTTAGGGAGGCTGGGGAGATAGCTCAGTAGAATAAGCACAAGGGCCTGAGTTCAATCCCTGGTTCTGCCAATAAATAAATAAATGACTAAAATGGTAACTTTGGGGGTTGCAGAGTATCAAATGCAGGATTTCAGCTGCATAGCAATGTAGCAAATAAAAAGATTCTATAAAAAAAGTAAAATAAATAAAATAGATTTAGGATTCTTTCCCAGTTTATAGATATGTGGAGGGGGTAGTAGTCTTCAATGTAATATGAAATTGAACAGCCTGGACTAAAATGTAAAGTTCCTTTGGTTTGCAAAAGTACCTCTTTTTGCAGTAAGGACACATGATTTGTGGCACAACTTACATGTCAGTTTTCACTTGTCATTGTTCTCTTACTCTGTAGAAACTTGACAAAATTAAGTTTGACACGTTTCCACCAGCTTGAAGTGCTGGTAGTACAAATGGATCTAATCACTTTTAATTAATCTTTTTACTAACAAAAAGTCACCTAGTGGGTACAAGCTGCTTGGTCGAAAAGCATACAAATCATATCCCTGTCACAAATGTGTTAGTTGTGCTCAGGAATGCAGATTTTCTTTTCTTTTTAAATACCGAGCTTTGGGCCGGCCAAATAGCTCAGTGGATTAAAGCACCTGCAAGCAGGCCCAGGGCTGGGGGTGCAAGCCCCGGGCCTGCCGTGCCTTCCCCGTCCCCGGGGCATGCTGAGACAGCATTTGAGACTGGGCATGATGGTGCACACTTATAATCCCAGCTCTTAGGAGGCTGTAAACAGGCAGATTATTCTGAGTCTGATCTAGTAGTGAGACCCTGAACACCCTGAAGACCCTTCCCTAAAATACAAAAAAAAAAAAAAAAATTAGACACCCAGCTCAGCGACTGCACATTATGTACATACCAGTGGCTACCACTGTGCGGGGTGTTGTGCTGTGAGTACTCAGTGTCTCCTTCGCCTTCCAGACACGAGCTTCTGAACTCAACGCGTGAAGATCTACAACTTGACAAGCCGGCGTCAGGAGGTAGGCTTCTGGGGCCCGTCAGAAGCTGTTCCACGTACGTGACGTCCCACCTATACTAATGACGTGCCTTCTACAGAGCACACATTGGAAGCATTCTGCCTAGTGTGCTAAAATAATGAACTCATTTTTTTAGTAACCCATTATAAGCACATGTAAACATCGAATTCCAAAATAGAATCAATTAAAAGAATTAGGTTCTAGTATATTAAGTAGGTCATTATCTGAGACTGCATTAATCTATTGGATGATTGTTCATCAAATGTGTTTTATGTTTTATGTAGGATATACAAAGATTTACCTTGTAGAACATGTAGCCATTTCTCTTGTTAGGTGTTTTTGAAGCAAATGTGCCTTAATTTTTGTCTCGTTTGCTTGCTCTGGAATGGAATGGGCGGGAAGACATGGGAGCCCGCATTGTTGGTATTTTGGGTCGTAGAAGTGTTACTAACATTGTCATGGCAATAAATTCTCCTTCCAGAATCCTGCCTGTGGCTGTTCTCTGGCAACCCGAGCTCTTCATTACCTTGAATTTCCTTTTTTTTTTTTTATGTCATAATTGTTTCTGTAACTACATTGTGAAATCTTAGGAATAATTTTAGTCACAGACAGGGATTATAATACTTTTTTCTTTTATATATATATATATATATATATATATATATTATATTTAATAGTGTAGGTGCTTCAAGTAATCAAATTGAAACTTTCTTGTGTTTATTATTACAGTGAAGGAAGAATGGTATGCCAGAATCACTAAGTTAAGAAAAATGGTAGATCAGCTTTTCTGCAAAAAATTTGGTAAGTCTGCTTTTCCCTGTGACTAAACTGTATTTCTGAATAATGTAATATTTAAAAAATTTTGTTTCACCTCCAGAAAGCAAATGAAGTTGGATTCACATCCATGTTTTTCTTACTGCTTTTTAGTAGGAATTTATTTACAGAATTTAATCCTGTACGGAAGGGCAGTGAATAAAGAAACTTCATTGTTTTTGTTCTCTCTTCTGAGCAGAGCTGGGCTGCACCCCAGCTCTGTGCAGGCGAGCCGAGGCCTCTGCGGCCGTGCTGCATCGCTGCCCTGAGTGAGGACTTGTCGCTGACGCAGCTGTGGTCTCTCTCAGCTGGCGATCCTTTTCTCAGGCCTTGCTGCCCTGTAAAGAAGGGAGCGTCAATAGTAGGCCACATGCAGCCGTGCACCTGCATGCGCACACACATACACACACGTGTGGGCACACTCATCCACTGGCCATCTGAGAAGGCACTGGGACCCAGTGTCTGACCTACTCCCCTCAGCAGCACCCCCATGTCACCCCAGGGCACTGTGCATACCAAACACCTGCTTTGCAACTGTACCACACCCCCCAGCCTGTCTTACTGCTTAAACTCATCCACAAAGACTGATAATACATGGGTTTGGTTTGTAACTATAAAAACCATTTTCTCTTCTACTGTTCAAGTTTTCCAGCTTTGTTGTTTGTTGGCCTTTCTTCTTGAGCCCATCTCATGTTCAGTGTGCTATTTTCATCTCTCCATAGTTTACTGGTTCAGGTTGAGAGCGTGGAGCTTGGCCCTGAGCCCTCTTTCTCTTTCTTTCTTTGTGTTTTCCATCCTGTTTCAACACAGTAGTACATCAGCTGTGATGACTTCAGTCTTCACTTCCTGGCTCAGAAACCTCCTAATGCCAGATCTTTATATTTGCCCACCTGTTTGATAGATCCTCAGGCTTCACACGACCTTAGGCATTTTTGATTTCTATCTCTAACATGTTTCTCTCCCAGTCTCCCCAGTGGTTTATTTTCTCCATTTAACATGCAATCTTTAAAATTTTATTTTATTTTTGGTACTAGGGATCGAACTCCGAACCTTGCACTTGATAGATAGGTGCTTGTGCTACTGAGTTATTTTCCCAGCCCATTATATGCAGTCTTGCAAGGCTTGCGATTCTGCATCCACAACACATCCTGCTTACTACCTCTTGTTCAGTGCTGTGACTGTAACCCCACCAGGTCCCAGTGCAGCCAGATGGCTCTCAGAACTGTAGGGTGGCACTTGTTCTACCCTGGTTCAGTGTGTGCAATGCTCCTGCCGCATCCCTACAAATGTCACCATGTAGCAGAAGTTTTCCCCAAGTGTCCCAACAGAAGCTGTGGTTAGGCTGGCCCCCTGTGTAGGCTCAAGCAGGAGCTCAGCACATACTTATTGTAGGAATCCATTTCCTGAAGATGTTTTTCAAGCCAGCAAAAATCTCTGAGCATTTTGATCACATAACATAGGTTGACCCTCATCAAATTAGAACTCTAGAAGAGCACTGAAGTACCTCAGACTGGCCTGGTAAGGAAGGCTGCGGTCGAGGGTGGGGCTGTGGTGGGAACAGATGCCTGTGAGCTGAAGTTCTGGTTTCTGTCCTGAAAGCCAAGTCTTCCTGTGCTCTCGTGTTCAAGAGAGCTGTAAGATGCCAAGTCTTCTTTAGTACAACTCCTGAGCTTAGTCCTTAGACTTAGTCCCCAACATGTTTTCTGTATAATCCATGTGTTCATTGTTTTTACTAATTATGCTTTTAATACTAAAGTGTTAATACCCCTGGAAACTCATCATCCCTGTCACAGTGGCGTCTTCACAGTTGATGTGGGGGCGGCAGGCAATAAAGAGCATCCCCATGAGCAGCTGTTAGCTCCGCCCTCCGGTGTGGCTCTCAGGTTGAGCTTCTTACAGAAGCAGCCATGTCTGAGAGTGTTGTGGTGGCTGCAGAGCGTGCGACTTTTGACTGAAGAACGAGCTGCCAGTTTACCCCAAGAAGAGCTGGCCAATTTTTCACTTTATCATGGGTATGAAACTAGAACTCAGGAATCGTGGACTGGAATTGTATCTCAGGTGGAGCATTTTCAGCACAGGGGAGGCCCTGTTTCCTAGTCCCAGCCCTGCAAAGAGGGGTGCAGGACAGGGGCGTGCAGAGCCAGAAAGGGGTTAGTGGTCAGCAGTGCAGCCGCACTCTGGGCGTCCTCGCGCGGTGCCTGCGGTGTCCCTCCAGCTGCGTGTGGTGGTGTTCATGTGCTGCTGTCCTCTGTGGTCCTCCTTTTCTCCTGTTCCTCACTTTGATGGGAGTGTGGTTGCACTGTGCTGCCCAGGCTTCCTCATCAGTGTCTGGGCACAGATCCTCACGGGATCTACGGGCATGGGCGCCACACCCCCTCTGCCTTTCATCCCTTCTGATGCTGAAAAAAAGCTTAATCTTTATAGATCACATCTCTTTTAATAATTAGTAAATATGTTTCCAATATTTTAAAAAATTGCTATGTACCTTGCTCTGGACTGTACCAAAATATCATTTCAGTACAGACTTAGCCCCCTGAATTGCTTTGATCTTCAGCTGAAGCCTTGGGAAGCACAGAAGCCAAGGCTGTCCCATACCAAAAATTTGAGGCCCATCCCAATGATCTGTATGTGGAAGGACTACCAGAAAACATTCCTTTCCGAAGTCCCTCGTGGTATGGCATCCCAAGGCTGGAAAAAATCATTCAAGTGGGCAATCGAATCAAATTTGTTATCAAAAGGTAAGATTATTGTCTATAGAAACAAGTCTAACTGGGCATGGTGGTGTGCGCCTGTAATCCCAGCTCTTGGGAGGCTGTAAACAGGCGGATCACTATGAGTCCGATTTAGTAGTGAGACCCTGAACACCCTGTAGACCCTTCCCTAAAATACAAAAAAAAAAAAAAGAAACAAGTCTAAGGTGTTTCCTAAAGGTGGATTTGGTGGAGACAGGCCTTTTAATCCCTTTCACAGGACTTCTCTCTGGATTTTGAGTCATAGTAGTCCATTTAGACTCAATGGTATTACACAGGTATTTACATGGTGCAAGCAGCAGATACCCAGTATTGACTCTGTTTGAACCTTGTCCTTGAGAGCCTTCATCCAAAGTTCAGTGCAGTGTAGTACTGGAGAGTATTTTCAGGGGAAAAGCCTGGAGGTCCAGGCTGGGCAGCTATGCACACAGAACAGAGGATAGGGCCATCCATGCAGGGGACTGGAAGATCCAGTGTTCTACTGTCTGAATCATGCGCTGCAGGATGGGTGCTGTTGGGTGCAGGGTGCAGTGGGGTGTGGCCTGAAGGAAAGCAGTAGCCTGCGGATCCTGGGACAGTCTTAGCGTTGTGTGGCAGGAAGGGGATTCTGGTTTGATTCTGAAGGCCAACAGAGAAGGTGGCCCAGGTGCTGGATGGGAAGGGAGGCCCCTTGTGTTCACAGGAGTGCTGACACCCAGGCTCGGGCTTCTGTGCCAGTGCGGTGGTCCTGCATTTGTGCACTTTGGTGGGGCTGAGGGATGCATGAAGGAGGACTTCACTTTTTTGTTTGTTTTGTACCCAGTATGGAACTCAGGACTTTGTGCTTGGCACTGTGCCACTGAGCCATATCTCCGGCCCTATTAATAATTTTTATTTCTAGCTATTTTGTGGTGTAGGGCCAACCTATGGTACCACATACCTGAAACCCAGGGCATGGGAGGCTGAGGCAGGAAGGTAGAGAATCTGAAGTCAGTCTGGATTACACAGCCTGTCTGAGACTGTCCTGGACTATGTAGTCAGACTCTGCTTTTAAAAAGAAAAAAATTGAGTTACTTTGGAGGAAAAAGTGACTATTTTGTACTCTAATCATAAAATGCCCTTGAGAACATCCATGTAATCTCACATGAATTGTGTGCAAACTACTATTTTCCGGATACAGTCACCAAAATGCTTTTATTTTTGCTGCATAGGAAAGGATCCTGGGCCATATTTAGGAACAGTTAGCAATGTGTGGCTGTGTGGGAAAGGGCTGCTGTTCCTAAATGCTGTGTTGTTAATACCAGCTTTATTTTCCAGACCAGAACTTCTGACGCACAGCACAACTGAAGTTACTCAACCAAGGACGAACACGCCAGGTACAATGAGTATAAAATCCTATCCTTTCCTTTGATTTTATTTTCTTCAAAATGTAATCTTTGGGGCCGGGCACACATGGCTCAGTGGAATAAGCACTTCCCTAGCAAGTTCAAGGGTCTGAGTTCAATCCCCCGTTCCACCAAGAAAAAAAAAAGTTATCTTTTAGGGCCAGGGAGATGGCTCAGTAGAATAAGTGCTTGCCTGGCAAGCACAAGGGCCTGCGTTCAATCCCTGGTTGGGGGGGGGGATGTTCTGTTAACAATGTAATCTTTTATGTTCCTGGACTTCCTCCTTCCCACAACTTGCCCCCAAATACACTCTGGTGTCAGCTCCACAGAGGCAGCTGGTGGCCACCATGAGCACAGACACCGCAGTTGGCTCCAGCTCTGAATCAAGCCGGAGCTGTCTAGGAAACAGCCACCAGCATGAGCCCTCCGCGGCTCTATGCTCTGCAGCAGCTGGATCCCTACTACTGCATCCCTACTACTTGGGGTTTTATTCATTCGCAGCTGGTGTATATTTTGCACTTACAGTGTCCTTCAGTTCCCAGTAGCCTGACTTAAATAACTTTTTTTTTAAATAAATGATTCATACTTTTAATGGTTTAACATATAAAGAATAATATTAATACTTACATATTTTAAGAAAGCAAATTTTAGGAACAAAATTTAGCATGTACTTTAAGACAAAGGATCTATTAAATTTCAACAGTTTTAAAATTCTTTGACCAAAAGAATAGGATTAAAAACAATAAAAATGAAAAGAAAATAAAAATATAGCCTTTCTGCTGGTGGACACCGCGGAGGAAGCATCATCAGGCTCTCTTCCGACTGCCGTCATGTCTAAGTCAGAGTCTCCCAAGGAGCCCGAACAACTACGGAAGCTCTTCATCGGAGGGCTGAGCTTTGAAACAACTGATGAGAGTCTGAGGAGCCATTTTGAGCAATGGGGAACACTCACAGACTGCGTGGTAATGAGAGACCCGAACACCAAGCGTTCCAGGGGTTTTGGGTTTGTCACTTATGCCACTGTGGAGGAGGTGGATGCAGCCATGAATGCAAGGCCACACAAAGTGGATGGAAGAGTTGTGGAACCAAAGAGAGCTGTCTCAAGAGAAGATTCTCAAAGACCAGGTGCCCACTTAACGGTGAAGAAGATCTTTGTTGGTGGCATTAAAGAAGATACTGAAGAACATCATCTACGAGATTATTTTGAACAATATGGAAAAATCGAAGTGATTGAAATTATGACTGATCGAGGCAGTGGAAAAAAGAGGGGCTTTGCTTTTGTAACCTTTGATGACCATGACTCTGTGGATAAGATTGTCATTCAAAAATACCACACTGTGAACGGCCACAACTGTGAAGTGAGGAAAGCCCTGTCCAAGCAGGAGATGGCTAGTGCTTCATCTAGCCAAAGAGGTCGAAGTGGTTCTGGAAACTTTGGTGGTGGTCGTGGAGGAGGTTTTGGTGGCAATGACAGTTTCGGTCGCGAAGGAAACTTCAGTGGTCGAGGTGGCTTTGGTGGCAGCCGTGGTGGGGGTGGTTATGGTGGCAGTGGAGATGGCTACAATGGATTTGGTAATGATGGAAGCAATTATGGAGGTGGTGGAAGCTATAATGAATTTGGCAATTACAACAGTCAGTCTTCAAATTTTGGACCCATGAAGGGAGGAAACTTTGGAGGCAGAAGCTCTGGGCCCTATGGAGGTGGAGGCCAATATTTTACCAAACCACGAAATCAAGGTGGCTATGGTGGCTCCAGCAGCAGCAGTAGCTATGGCAGTGGCAGAAGGTTTTAAACACTTCCAGGAAACAAAGCTTAGCAGGAGAGGAGAGCCAGAGAAGTGACAGGGAAGCTACAGGTTACAACAGATTTGTGAACTCAGCCAAGCACAGTGGTGGCAGGGCCTAGCTGCTACAAAGAAGACATGTTTTAGACAATACTCATGCGTATGGGCAAAAAACTCGAGGACTGTATTTGTGACTAATTGTATAACAGGTTATTTTAGTTTCTGTTCTGTGGAAAGTGTAAAGCATTCCAACAAAGGGTTTTAATGTAGACCTTTTTTTGCACCCATGCTGTTGATTGCTAAATGTAATAGTCTGATCATGACGCTGAATAAATGTGTCTTTTTAAAAAAAAAAAAAAAAGAAAAGAAAATAAAAATATACATAGAACTAGCCTACAAATATGATTAAATGTAGTTGAGCATAACAAGTAATTATTTTTTTATTTTTATTTTTTTATGTATATTTCCATGGCACTTTTTATTCTTTTCTGCTTGTTTTATTTTTTGAGTAACTTGTTCTTTTTTATAGGTCTCATATTGCCTTAAATCTATTGGAATGTACTTACTTTATTTTTCAAACAATTCTCTCTTCTGTTTTCTCCTACTGCATTTTTGGTTTGTGTTTGTTTTGGGCAGTGAATTACCTTCAGGGGCCTTTCTTCTGTCCTTCCTGATCTTTAGATGATCAGGCAGGATTATGGTTCACTAATAGAATAGGTGGTTGCATTTCAGTTGTACTCCTGCATTTGTTTTTTTCTTTTTTTAAATTTAATTTAAAAAAATTTTTATTGAGAAATAATTATGAATGAGACAGTTTCACAGCTGATTAATAGGACAGTCTCTTAGTTACCTTTTACTTGTTGCTGGGACAAATATCTGACATTCAAAATGAAGGAAGGAAAGGTTTATTTAGCTCACAGTTACTGGAGGGTTCAGTCCATATTCCGCTGGCTCCAAGGCAAACACAGCAGTTCATGCAGCAGAAAACAATGAA